TCGGTCTTTGAAGTGCTCTGGGACAGTCTTACAAGGGAAGGATGGTAGGTCGAAGTGGCCATTTGAAATGAAATGTATACCGGCTGAAAGGTCTTCGGACGGGAATTACGAAACCGTCTTCCATATCTGCTGCGGACCTCCCAGAAAGAAGTTACGGAGCTTTTTGGGGGAGAATCACTACAAATTGGCGGCGTAAGGCTATCGAGATCGTGGCAGCATGGCTGAGTGGATACGTCGTAGGGCTCACGGTATGCCATGGTCGAGGGTTTGAATCCTTGATGCGTGCGTGTGCTCTTTTGCATTTTTTCGAAAGTGGTCCCTGTGCACTTCAAAGCTATTTTGCATAACACTTGTCCATGATAATGTCGTGATGTAATGATTCTGAACTGATGGAGCCATTGCGAACCATTCAATAGAGAATCACTTCTGGCTGTTGTCTTCCTCTTTTCTTTTGGAGCCTGAAGAGCATCTTATACAACAAAAGTGCACTCCAAAGAAAGATTTTGCCTTCAAATGAATTTATTCTCCAAACGACATGACCGGAAAACGAATCCGAAGTTGTGCAGGAAGATGATTATAGTGGGGAAAATGCTTCCATATGAAGTGGCGTTTGAATGTGGCAATCATTGCTATCTCTCTCTTTTGCATACATGGTCGCATACATCCATTGAGAGGCCATTTCAATGGCGGTGCGTCACGAATCTGAAACCGGGTATTTGTTAAAGGATGCTTTCTGGATCACTCGGTGGTCGGAGTTTTGCAAACATTCCGCAGTCCTCATTGGTGCGCCCAGCTAATTGCTCAAGAAGGAGGACCGTGGGGGAAATAGTAAAATGCTAACGAGTCTCCACCGATTCGGCCATTTTTGAACAACAATTTGAACTTCAAATTTCCCTGAAGCCCGTTATTTGTCTTGTCATTATTTGTCTTGTCATTTCAGATCGCCCCATGGTTCAATCACAACGGGATTTCAAGGTAATCAAAGCCCCAGCAGTGACTTTGCATTGCTTCGTTCTGAATATGACTTTGCTTTGCTTTCAGGCCTCCGCTCTCAAGCTTGCCTGAGTATAAATGAGATCAAATTTAATTTTTGTTACATCTAAGTGATAGTCAATTCAATAAATAAATTATATTCTGTTGAGATCGTGCCACATTCTCAAATGTTCTTCGTCAGAAGAACTATGTTAACAAAAAATACAGGTCTCACGTCACAGGATGTCCTTTTCAATGCATTGTATTCTAGCGGAACATTCATAGACCACAGCAGTGAGGTTCATTCTTACTGTGTAAATGCCAAAGAGAGAGTGGACGATAGCCAGTGGTTCGAATCTTGATGTATTCAAATGAGCAAGATGATAAAAGGTCGCGAAGAACGCAAAAAAAGTTGGAGCCGAGCCATCATCAGAAGGTTACGGAGCCTTCACTCGAATTTTATAGCCGGTATGCAAGAGATGTACAACCTGCCTCAGTGCCGAGTGCTTCAACATCACGCTGGAATTGAGGCCCTATAATAGGCTGCTTTCTACGAAGTACCTTGAATTAAGAACAGTCCGACTTGGTTCAAGGACCGACTCCCTATTGGTCTCGAGAATCGGACCGGGTTGCCGGAAATAGTCTTCTTCGCGATTGGGTGATGAATATCTTAAAATCGCAAAAACATTTTGTTACAGAAACAAAAAAGACTCCACGCCCTAATGTACTTCATAAAGACAATAAAACAACTAACCTTAAAAAATAGAAAATGCAGTGAAAATTAGGGAGAAAATGGCCAAATTAGGCTGGAAACAGCTGATCGCCGCGGTCGTGACGCTCATCCATAAGGCAGTGTAAAAGTTGAGATGCGCTCGCATTGGCATTGATATGATTTTAGTTACTTAAAGGCAGCGCCCGCGTTCAATTTGATGAGGGGCTCAGACAGTGACAACAAGGTAGCAAGTAGTTCATTAGTGAAGAAAAATGCAAAAAAATCATCGGATATGCCCTATATAGGACCCCACGCCGAGCTGAGGTTGTACGTGCTTAAGGCGAAGAGAAGGCGCGGCCGCACGAGTTCTCACTTGTTGATATCAGCTGTTTTCCCTTATCACCTCACTCTCACCATTCGAAGTGGAGAGAGTTAGTAGCAGAACAACCGCACCATCAGGCAACCATTAGAAATGAAGTTGGGCGTAGTGGTCGCCAGGTGGGCGGGGTGGCCGACTCTTCACGAGCGGGCGCCGCTATTCTCTCGCATTTTTGAGTTGCGAAACTAGTACGTCCACCATCCTCATAGGGTGAGCTACGATATCCAAAGAGGGCGTGGAAACAACAAATGAACGTGGGCGCTGCCTTTAAGTTTTTTGATGCATTCCCTGAGCTACTAGTTTATACTTGTGATATCTACAAACGATAGGGCGTGTTGAGAGCTGCGAATCGAATCAAATTGCTGGATCTAGAAGTGAACATAGGATCCAATAAATTACATACCAAAATCGTCCGACGAAACAGACAGTGTGAACATCCCCACAGAAAGATTTCTCGATACCAGCTGCGAAATATCACGAAAAATCAAGTTAATACAATATAAAATTATCCCATAATAAGTTTCTAAATGCAAAGGAGCAATTTTTAGGTCTGATTTTAATATAGATACCTTTATAGTAAGCTTAATCAAATGTCTAGTCAAGATCAAGTTCATTGGATATAAGCATCGATTGAACGAAAAGACACTTATTAAAGTTCTTACATAAAAATTCCACAAAAAGTTGGTCATATTAACGACTGTCATAGTTATAATAATCAACTTAGTACCTGGTGTAGAGTAGGAGTTGCGAAACATTTTTTCTTTTTGGCCCTATACTGTGCAGCGGAATTCACTCAAAGTTCAGCAGAATGCGAGTTTTTCAACAAACGGCGACAGGGAAGGTAAAACGGCATGCAGTACAGTAAACGTGGTTTGCACCAGTGACCAGCCGACTTCCGCCTCAGTTAGTGCGCTTCTTCTCGCCTGCGACGCTCTTCATATCTAAAGACCTGTGGAGGAAATATGGCCGCGAAGAGCTAGTCAAAGGAGTTTGGAAACCGGAAAATTATAAAAAGTAACCGAGAATTTTGAACTCCATTCGCGGCTTCAGCGCTGCCTTTGATGACTGCATATTATGATTCCTGTGAACGAAAGCAATTCTTCTGTACCTTTGCGAACACTGCTCTCTCAGTTCATCGCACCTGTTCTCAGCGTTTCCCGGTTTCGTGAAGATATCACAGCTGCTATTAAGTTTTCTTTACCTAGGCGGCGGAACCTAGAGTGGTGATCCAACTCTGCTTCCCGTGTTCGAGCCATTCACTACTCACTCGAACAAACTGCTGGAGGGTACATCAGTGAGGAGATGCCGAGTGTGCGAGTTAAGAAGATCATAAGATCCTATTTTCCTGAGATATTTCATGCCTTTAGCGTGCGGCTGTACAACACAACACTGAAGTAGAGGAACACGAAGGCCGCCCTCTGCAAGGGTTCTGAAGAGAGTAATGTGCGTGTAGATGTGGCACAACAAGTGCAGAGTAGAAGATACGATCGTGGATTACTGTTTCCCTTAATTATGTGCCTTTTTCCTGCTTGTGTTCAAGCTCACTGCGATATCTTCTCTTGACCCCGTAAAAGTGTAACCTTCACTGGTGGGCAATATGGCCCAATAGGGAATCAACTATTTTGAATTTCAGTTGCTCACATTTGAGAAGGAGTTTCACTTCAATCGATAATTGAATTGAAAGCAGCTCCTCTGTGTTAATCTGTGTCAGTGTCATACTCACAAATATATCTACCACGAAAAAGTAGCGGCAAACGGAGCTCCAACTGGGAAACAATGTCCGAACGTCTGCGTCACCTCTTGCCTTTCAACGCCTAATGTTACTCAAAAAATGGGAAACTTTCAAACTCCTGAAAGGAGCTAAGCAGGAGGATCTACAGAAGTGCTTACGACTAGCGTACACCTTTTCAGTTCCTTGGCGCTTTAATCGTTTTTTTTTTACTGAGAGCCATCTGCAATGAGTGGCAAACAAGCACCGCAACGTCTTTTTATATGCGTTCTTCTCGATGGGCGGGACCACTAGCGCGAGACTGTAGGAGGGCACAAAGAAAAGTGCTGAATACTAATGTAATTGCAGTGCTGGAGTAGGTAGTTTTGTAATTATTTAACTTGAAATCTACGAATTATATCTGTCTAAAATGATGGCTCAAGCACTCTCGATTGGTAGTAACCTCATGCTGTTTTGGAACCATCCACTTCGTTCACTAAATTAACGGCTTTTCGAAAACAAGCTGCTGTAGGGAGTTAGCATGAGTAGGCGGGA